ACAGGCCCTAGACCCGGGCTACTTGGACTGGTACCGGCCTACCTCTAGCCTACCGCTACTGGGCCTCTAAAAATGCCAACTTTTTGTCTTCTTCTACTCAGCCTACCTGCTACTTGAGTGTTTTTCCCCAGCTGTTCTAAGTGTCCTGGGCCTATCCCMCGCTACCTGAGTGTTTACCCCCCTTGCAACCCTCAAAGTCACGGCCACAAGTAAGTACCGGCCCTGCGGGGCATTGCAACCAACAAGTACCCTTGCGGGTCACACACACTCAACAGACAAGCACTCAAACAGGCATGGAAACGGCCAGGCACGCACACACACACAACCGGTAAGCACTCAGACAGGCATGCAAACCAGCAGACACACACACATACAGACTTGGGACCACAGCAGAATGCGGGAATCACAGCAAGGCATTCATTCCAGTGACAAATCCCAAAAATCAGCAGTGTTCTCAGTCTGTGTTTTTGGTGGGTCATTACATTACTCCTCTCTCGAGAGCGAGGTCCCTTCGAGCGAATAACTCAGTCAGAGTTGGCACAGAATGCGTCGTAAGAGTACATCAGAAGAGAGACTTAGTCAATCCATGAGAAGTCATTGTTGCAACGAACTTAGCAGTCTGTCCCTCCGCGATCTGTCTTTCGTAAGCGTTCACAACACGGGGGCCATTCTTTAGCAGCTCTTTCCTGTCGATCCAGAAAAATTCAGTTAATGGGTGATAGAGGAAGTGAACCTTGTACTGTCTGTTCCTCCCTCTGCCCTCGTGAGATACGATTCTGTCTATCTCATGGTCGCCGTCGATAGGGCGAGGTATCATAGGATCTCGGAAGGGAAAAGTCTCATCATCAATGTGCGGAAACAGTTTGGACACATGAAAAACTGGATACGTGCGCAGATGAGGAGGCACGTCAATCACAAATGAAGGGCCAAAATCATCCCCAATCACCTTCAGAATCTGCCAAGGGCCATAGCACAAAGGAAGGAGCTTTCGTGATACGCCCTCTTCGTCAGAGAACTCAGACATTTTGACCCAAACATAATCCCCTACTTCGAATTTCTCTTCTTTGCGCATCTTGCTGGCATGTTTGATCATGGCATGCTGGCGCTTGTTCATGGCTGCAATCACAGTTTTGAGCAAGCGTGCGTACTTGGCATTGTAGCCAGGCATGTCGGGCATCAGACCAGGTGACCATTCGGGGAATAGATAGGAGAGGGGATTGCGCATCAGCCATCCATACTGCAGCTGGTTTGGTGTCACGCCAGTTGCAGAGTGAATGGAATTGTTATACAGTCCCTTCACATTGTGCAGCTCCTTGTCCCAAGTGTTCTGATCTGGAACAATCAATGCGCAAAGTAGTTGGATGACAGCCTGGTTGATCTCCTCAGCCAATCCATTGGCTTCGGGGTGTCGACCAGAAGTCTTGTTCAATTTAATGTCATAGATCTGTGACGTGAAGTCCTTCCAATCTTTGCTGATGAATCTGGTGTCCCGATCACTCACAATAGTTTTCGGGACGCCAAACTGCAGAATGTACTGCTGATGGAATTCCTCAATGACAAGTTCAGTTGGTGCATGGGGAGAGAAAGGGATCAGATTCACAAATTTGGAGAAACGATCCACGATGACCATGACCTGTGAATTCCCTGTTGCACTCACCTTTCCCAYRTCCGTGAAGTCGATGGAGATCGATTCACCGGGTCCATCAGGAATGGGGAGGGGTCTTAGCAGGCCATAAGGCTTATGCCTGTGGACCTTGGTTCTTTGACATACCTGACATTCARCAATAAATTTCTGAGCAGATCCTTTCATCCCTGGCCAATCAAACTGCTGCAGAAGACTTCCATAAGTCTTCTCAAAGCCAAAATGTCCACTCCGACCATGTGCCAAGTCCAGGAAATGAGTCCGGAGAGGCGCATGGTTGGG